CCAGTGCCAACTCTGTCCACACAACTATACAAGCAACATCATTACAAGACCTAATCTCATAAGCCACCACATTGGAGGCTGCACATTCACCAATGTGATCTATGCTATCAAGTACCAGCAATGCCCCTCTGCCATGTATATTGGCCAAACTGGACAGTCTTTACAACAAAGGATTAATGGACACAAATCTGTTTTTTTTAAATGGCAACACACAGAAAGCTGTTGGGGAACATTTCAACTTGTCCAGGCACTCACTAATGTATTTAAAAGTGTCTATATTATTTCAAAGCAATTTCAAACGTCACCTGGAGAGAGAAACTGCAGAACTTGGTTTCATTTACAAGTTTGACACCTCCAATAGCAATTTAAACAAAGATTTGTCCTGATCTGGCTGCTACTTTCCACATCATAATGACATAAAACATTAAGCACAAAGCACTTAAAATACTGACAGCCTACTCTATTAGCCTCATTTAGCGTGGATACTCTAATTGGCAATATTTTTTTCTCCATTTTTCCCTCTTTCTCTGCTATTTATTTGCATCCCTGGACCGCTTAGCTCAATTCATCTGAAGAAGTGGTTTGTGCCCATGAAAGCTTATGATACCATCTACATCTTTTATTAGTCTAGAAGGTGCTGCAGGACTATTTGCTGTTTTTAAAGTTTTTTTCAGTTATAGACTAACACAGCTACCCCTCTGAAACTTTTGCACCCCAGGAGTCCCATCAAATAAAAAACCATTGTACAGAAAACAGTTGCTAATTTAAAATCCATAAAAGCAGTTAAGCAAGCATCTGCTACAATATATAGCCCCAAGCCTTCACTCAAGTGCATGTAGTTGCTGTTTGCATGTGCAGAGTCCCAGTTCCTTCAGAAGGTGTCCTCCCACATTGAGCTACTTGTAGCATTGGGCATAAATGCTCTCTACCTCTCCAATCCCTAATTTTTATATCAAAGCATAGCTATCCTACAGCAAAATCATGTATCAGGAATTTTCTCACAATTAGTGTACATAAGTAACCATTTTCTGAAAATGTATATATCCCAGCAGTAGGAGAGGGGCAAGTAAAAAAAACAAAGATATTGTTTTATATCCTGAGAGGAAAGAAAAGGCAAACTATTGCCATACATTTTAACAAGCATTATTTTTACTGGGCCTGGAAATCAAGAAGCTGGCTTAATTTTTTGATTACAATTTTAATCTGTTATTTTAACAATTTAAAAATATTGTAAAGAAATTTGTTAGCAAGCTCATGACACATGTGTATGTCATCTCTCTCTACTCCACTGCTATCCAAGCAGAATTGTATAATTATTTTTGAGTCATTCTCAGAATTGCTACGGGAAGGATGTACAGTCTGAGCCTGATCAATAACTATCCACCACCACAAGCGGAGGAAACTGGATGAGAATGTTGTTTGGATGACTGCTGACTCATTTTCACTGAGAGTTTTCATAGTCTTATAACTTGGCCAAATGTGGGTGGATTTTCACAGCAAATAGTAAAAGATGCATCTCTGACACAAAGGCCACCATTCTTCCAAATTTTGCCTCCTCCCCCCCTCTAAGAATGGACCTAATGCTTTTCAAAGAAAAAGTCATCCGCAATGGTTTAACATGGGCAAAACAACTGATTATTTCCGAGTGTCATTCTTGAAAATGACTGAACTGTTTTGGCTGAAAATCCCCCCTTTCTCCCAAAACCCCCCAGAAACAGGCATCCAGCATGGCATGGGACATTTCAAGGCAAGCATTTCAAGTCTGGCCACGTTATAAGGACCTGTTTCCAGTTAATTATAATGGGAAATGTCCCTCTGGCTGTTTCGGTAGTCAGTGACACTGCTAGCTGCACCAATAATATAATTCCTCAAACAATGTTTTTTTTAAATCCAGAGAAAGGAGAAGAGCACAATATTTCACCAGGTACATTTAATTTACCCGGGGAACACCTAGAATGGACAATATTATAGGAAAGGAAGATAAAAGACTATCAATGCTGATACAAGGATATTCTATTCCTAATCAGCGAGAGCCAGTAGAATTGACAGGGCCTTGAGGTGAGTAATGTGTGTCATTCAAGGAATTAAGCACATGGGATGCCTGATAAAATTTGGCAGACTGAGTGTAAGCAACAGCATGCTAATGTTGTATCAAAAGTACCTGAAAATATTCATTGTGCCTCTTTCTCAGCAGCCCAAAATCATTAATCACATCATTTTGATTTTTTGGTGTTTGGCACATACAGTCATTTTTATTACAGGCAGTCCCCGAGTTACGCGGATCCGACTTACGTCGGATCCGCAGTTACGAACGGGGCACTTCCTCTCCCTGGTCTCGAGCAGACCAGGGAGAGGAAGCAAAGCGGCGGCGGAACGCGCGGCCAGCTGACAGCCCAGACGCGTCTGGGCTGTCCCGCTGCCCCCGTGCTCCGCGGCTTTGCTCCGGCCGCCTGTGGTACAGCAGCTGGGGCGCTGCCGGTTGGTCCCGTAGCACCGCTCTGGGTGCCACTGGACCAACCCAGCAGCACCCCAGCTGCTCTGCCCCAGGTGTCCCCTAGTCAGCAGCTGCTGAAAATAACAAGTGGCTG